TTTTTATAAAGTTTATTCAATTATTCATTTTCGTTGTATTATTCACAAGATTTATTCATGAAATATTATTGCTTTTGTATTATTTTATTTCTATAGTTTTGTCAATTATTCATTTTTATTATTCATTGTTATTTATAATCTTCCAAGGTCACTCTGAGCCCTCACTAAGTGGGGTGTAAGTGACGGTGAGCTAGGGTGGTGACTTTGAGAGAGAGAGGAGGAGGAGAGGAGAGAGGGAGAGAGGGAGGGAGGGAGAGAGAGGGAGAGGAGGGAGAGAAGGAGAGAGAGAGAGAGAGAGAGAGAGAGAGAGAGAGAGAGAGAGGAGGAGAGGGAGGGGAGGAGGGATAGAGAGGAGGGAGAGAAAGGAGGAGGAGAGGAGGAAAGAGAGAGGGAGGAGAGAGAGAGGAGGAGAGAGAGAGAGAGAGGAGAGAGAGAGAGAGGAGGAGAGGAGAGAGAGGAGAGAGGAGAGAGGGGAGAGAGGGAGGGGAGAGAGAGGGAGAGGGAGAGAGGGAGAGAGGGAGAGAGGGAGGGAGAGAGAGAGAGAGAGAGAGAGAGAGAGAGAGAGAGAGAGAGAGAGAGAGAGAGAGAGAGAGAGAGGAGGAGGGAGAAAGGAGAAGGAGAAAGAAGGAGAGAGAGAGAGAGAGAGAGAGAGAGAGGTACTATAAAACACACAACAACAACAACACTTATTTATTTCTTTCTTTCACTAGTCCCCTCCCTCACTGACTCATCGCCTGACTCATCGCCTGACTCAACGCCTGACTCTAAGTGGTCTGAGATGGCCGGAGGGACACGGCCAACTATGAAGTGAATCGGCCAGCCAGGCAGAGGTCGGCACGTAGGTGACAGGGATGGATGTGAGGGAAGGTGGGGCAGGAGGGGAGGGGGGGTGGGTGAGGGTAGGGGAGGGAGGGTGGGTGGCATGGTGGAAGGGGGAGGCAGGATAGGAGGGAGGGGTGGGGTGGCAGGAGGGGAGGGTGGGGTGGGCAGGGTAGAGGGGAGGGTGGGGTATATGGTGGGAAGGGAGGTGGGGTGGCGGGTAGGAGGGAGGGTGGGGTAGGGAGGGAGGGGGTGGGCAGGGTAGGAGGAGGTGGGGTGGGGTGGGGATAGGGTGGGGGTCAGGGTGGGGAGGGAGGGTGGGGAGGCAGGATAGGAGGGGAGGTGGGTGGGTAGGGTAGAGGAAGTGGGGGGTAGAGGGGGTATGGTGAAGGGAGGGGCAGGGTAGGGGAGGGAGGGTAGGAGGTGGCAGGGTGAGGGGCAGGTGTGAGGAGGTGGGAGGGAGGTTGGAGGGAGGGGTGGTGGCAGAGGGAGGGTAGGGGTGGCAGGGTAGGGAGGAGGTAGGTGGGGTGGGAGGGTAGGAGGCTCCACCAGTACCAAACCGATCTATACGGTCAGGAATAGACAACCTTCGACCAGCATCCGCCAGTAGGGTCGGCGGAATATGAAATAAGGCCCTCAAAACACCCATATATGATAGGGTAAGATGTCTAGTGCCGGTACCGACAGACAATAACTGACCCGTGACACAACCCTAACACACTATTAGCTTAGTTTCGGCGGTCATTCTCTACCTCCTCCTAAATTTCTTCACTTGAACTATACTCTCCCCACCTCTAATCTTTTCACCCTCCTTCCCTACCAAAAAAGTGGGGTGGCAGGGTAGGGAGGGAGGGTGGGGTGGCAGGGTAGAGGGAGGGGTGGGGTGGGGTGGGGTGGGAGGTAGGAGGGAGGGTAGGGTGGGGTGGGAGGGTAGGAGGAGGGTGGGAGGGTGAGGAGGTGGTGGCAGGAGGGAGGGGGGGTGGGGTGGGGAGGGAGGAGGGCGGGGAGGGGTAGGGAGGGAGGGTAGGGTGGGGTGGGGTGGAGGGAGGAGGGTAGGGTGGGGTGGGTAGGAGGAGCGTCTGAGGGTAACGTCCTTGCCTTGAAGGAGAGGAGTAGTCTGTTAGGAAGGGGAGGGTGACTCATATGATGACGTCATATTGTGTTCTCCTCCCATCATCTCTCACCTCTCTACTCCCTCCCCCTCATTACCCCTCCATCAACTCCCATCACCCCCTTCCCCTCATATTTTGGCAATTATGTGTTGCATTGCTGCGTAGGTCCACTATCATGTGTACATCAGCTTACATTTGTTCACTCTCCCCATAAAGTATTGCCCCCCGGCCTGATGTATTTGACATAAACACAATAACACGAGCACAACAGTCTCGGTTCGGTTGGTATTTCTGATTGAGAGTTGCACCTTCATTCTTTCTTCTTGCACCTGATAATCACCATGTCTGATTTATACCATCTAGAGTCTACATAATGTAATGAAATAGGATAAATTGTTATACCATATCATGAGTTACCCCGCTTAATTATCCACCTTAGATACTATTTCAGCCCCAGGGGATGTGTAGCCAAATAAGAATATAACGTTTCTATGTTTTCATGAACCGAGGTTACAACGAAATCACTTAGAACGAAATATCAAACGCTATGATCCGATATCACATTCATCTGCAAATTTAGTAATTACAGGTGTATTATGATGCCGTATGCAATGACAATGACATTTTGATTTACTGCATTTCGATATTATTTCTGCCTCATTGATGAGGTAACAATTATTAATATAATGTATCGTCTCATGATTCGTGCTGGCAACTGAACATTATCTGTTACGCACTACGAGACGATATCTGTCGGTACAAGCTGTGTTTCCTAAATGGGTCTCTCGTACGTTGGTCAGGGATTTACAGCAGAAAACAACCACTATTTGATTGTCGTTGATATATTTTCGCTAAATTAATATTATTATATCAGTCTACTAAAGATGGAGCACGGTGATTCACCATAATTACATCAAATGCCAGAAATAATAACTGACAACCTCACAGATACTAGGAAGGCTTAACAACACAATCGGTGACCGGAAATATTCGTCCCATACTTTTCTGGGAGAGTGTACTGTACTGTCTCCTAGATACACATACTACTCCTGTGTACATATCTTCGGACAAAACCGCGACACGACTTTTGCCTTTGATTGTACACCTAGGTCTACTCTCCCCGTGTACACGTAGACTTACTCTCTGTAAATACATAGGACGTCGCCATGCACAGATATTACTATGTATGTTATTGTGTTTCATACGATTATGGCCTTTATTACCTTCGAAAATGAGAAGTTACCGAGATATACCCCCACCCACCCAATACTAAACAATATTGGTTGCACAAAGTGGGCAGGACTTTGAAGTAGAGAGAAATTATTTGGAGAAACACACAACAAATAAAAAAAATAGCTAACGAAACCAAACCAAACGAAACTTCCTAACCAGAAGGACCTGACCTAACCTCTGAACCAGGTGGACGGACCCCAGTATGTAAAACAACTAACCTTAATCAACAGATGCAGGAATATAAAATGATGCCGCTTGAATGAGGAAGATGTGCAGTATGGTGTTCAGATCTTTGTGATGTGCTTGGAACCTGTACAGAGGAATATATGAGCGATAAAGTTCTTTCTTGATGCCGGCACGGAACACCCAACCATCACACACAGACGCCAACTTGCTACTACCGTAATTCAAATCAGAAATTGCACATGCTCCCAAGTCATCCGCTGATTGGCTCACAAGTATCATATGACATCCAAACTTCAACTGATTGGCTGAGTAATAAGTAAACAATCGATTTTCCCGAGAAAAGTTTCCATCTGTAAGTGAAATAGAAAAGTCTAAATAACTCAAAACTATAAAACTCCCGAAGGAAACGCTCTAGAAAAGTTTATTTATTTATTGCTTCATCTCCTTATATAAAAATCAATGCAGAGTTCCGTGCATGGTAACTTCGAAATATTAACCCAACTCTCCCCATCTATACCCAAGCCTACTCTCCCCATGTGCACCTAGGCCTACTCTCCTCATGTACATATAGGCCTTCTTTCCCCACTCAATGAACCCTCACTTTTTCTTCCCACTCACCTGACTACGAAACCATACCATTTAGCGTCTCTAAATACCTTTCTCACCTCTCTTCCCCACCTATTCTCCCCACCTCCTCCCACCCTCCCCACCTCCCACTTATCCACCCCATCTATTCTCCCCCACTCACCCACATTTGTTTTCTCTGGCCAGGCTCTTCGTCTCAACGTGCAAGGACCAATGTGGATGGATCACAAGACGTTGATTGTGGAGCTGGTGGTCTTGGCTGATAGGAGTATGTATCAACACTATGGCTCAGTACCCGGAGTCGAAAATCACGTCAAGAAAGTTGTCTCTGTGGCCAATGGCGTGAGTAAAGATCCTTGGGGTTTTTCTTCGATTTTATTTATTATTTTTTTTTTTCGTGGGGTGTGGCTGTGGGTGGGGAGGAGGGTGGGGTGGAGTGGGGTGGGGTGAGTTTGTAATGAGAGTAATATTAATTTCTTTGTGTTTGTAATACTGAATATTTATCAAAGTAATATTTCAATTTATTCACTCACTCACTCACTCCTTCTTCCCCACCCACACACGCACCCATTTCACCCCATAATTTACCTCTTTACATCCCCCACGCCTTACACCGCCCACAGTTCCTGAACCGTGTGTCGTGGTGGTGCTAACGGAGGTGAATGGGAAAGAGACCAAATCAATATGGTGAATGATTTTGTCGTTTACTGAACGCCATGATGGATTACCGACCTTGTTGATGAAGGAGGAGCCCCATCTGCCCAACGATAATATGTTCTCTTAACGTGAGTCAGAGAGAGAGAGAGAGAGAGAGAGAGAGAGAGATTGTGTTAATGTGTGTGTGTGTGTGTGTGTGTGTGTGTGTTCTGTTAAGGGAATGTACGAATAATGTTAGGATTTGCACAGTCTTTTTCCACAGTTAGCAATTCTAAATAATAATAATAATAATAATAATAATAATAATAATAATAATAATAATAATAATAATAATAATAATAATAATAATAATAATAATAATAATAATAATAATAATAATAATAATAATAATAAAATAATATAATGTGATATTGACTTTAAATTTTCTGCACCAGGCGAATCGAATTTCAAGGCAAAACGGTAGGGAAAGCGTTGACGGGAGAAATGTGCAAGGAAACACTTTCTGACGATAATCAATCAGTTGAGAGGAAGAGACAGTTTCTCACATATATATCTCATTATAACCTTTTCGTGTTTTCTCCATTGTAGTTATCAAGTGAGAAACATTATTCTCAGACTGGCCATCACCATACCCTAAGTTCCTACCATAGTACAGTCGCCCATCCACCATAATCACCATTGTATTGAAGGAATTACACCATAAACACTGTTTCGCATCACCACCACGTTTTACCACTATACCATCACTATATTACATCATCATCATTAGGTCATAATAATTCACTACCTATGACACTATACATTTTCACTATATCACCATACTACACTATATTACTGTATGGTCGTGTTACAGGGAGAAGACGTCGGTGGGTGTGGTGTCAGATGATGGTGATGACTACGGCAAAGTCGGTCATATTCTGGCACATGAGATGGGGCATAACCTGGGTATGAAACATGACAATGTGGCCCAGAAAATACTCGGCCAGCAGTGCCACTGTTCAACTGAGTTGTGTATCATGCACCACGGAGTCAGGTGAGTGCCATATAGTCTAGTCAGTGCCACATATAGTCTGGTCAGTGCCATATATAGTCTGGTCAGTGCCATATATAGTCTGGTCAGTGCCATATATAGTCTGGTCAGTGCCATATATAGTCTGGTCAGTGCCACATATAGTCTAGTCAGTGCCACATATAGTCTGGTCAGTGCCACATATAGTCTAGTCAGTGCCACATATGGTCTGGTCAGTGCCACTTATAGTCTAGTCAGTGCCACATATAGTCTAGTGACTCTAGTCAGTGCCATATATAGTCTAGTCAGTGCCACATATAGCCTGGTCAGTGCCACATATACTGTAGTCTAGTCAGTGCCACATATAGTCTGGTCAGTGCCACACCCTTGAGTTAAGAATGATCTTTTTTCTCTCAGTGCAACATATGACCCCAAGCTGGCCTGGAATTCCTGTAGTAGAAAATTCATCGACAACATGTTGGAAACTACGGCCTTGGACTGCCTGAAGAACGTCCCCACGACTGTGTTTATCTCTGGCAGCTGCGGTGACGGCGTGGTGGACCCTAACGCCGGGGAGCAGTGTGACTGTGGCCCCGTTGAGTTCTGTGACAACCGCTGCTGCGTCGCCGCCACCTGCCGCCTCGCTGTCAACGCTTCCTGCGCCACTGGGTCATGTTGTGACACTCAGGTGAGACTCAACCTCCTGCTGTGACATTCAGGAGAAATAAACTTTGGTCAAATTTTCATGTGGTCCAAAACATCTCCTTGACTCGCTGTGTTGTGTCGGCAGACGTGTGAACCTAAGGAGTCGGGGAACATGTGTCGTGCCGCTTCCTCCGATTGTGACCTCCCCGAATACTGCTCAGGTCACTCCGAGTACTGCCCTGACGACGTCCACAAGAAAGATGGCGTTACCTGCAGGTGGGGCAAGGTGAGTCCTGAAGTCCTGTGTGGCAAAGAAGGGAGAGATTGTTATGTTTTTGTTATTTGAATATGAGAAGGTCTCTCTCTCTCACGTGCACACACCAATTCTCTCTCTCTCTCTCTGTTGTTGTTGGTAGCCGCCCATTAACCAATTTCACCTGCCAGGGTCACTGTCATCAAGGAGGGTGTGGTAGCCACGAGGGACGGTGTGAACACGTGTGGGGGATCAACGCTCAGGTTGCTCATCACAAGTGCTACTCCAACTTCAACAGCAAGGGCAACGGAGATGGCAACTGTGGCAAACACCCCAAGTACGATCAATATCTACCATGCACTCCCAAGTAAGTACACACACCTGCCGAGGAAGGTTAGTTAACGTACTTGTGCTGGATAGTACATAACAACTGCTGTCTGGGTTTTTTTTGAGCTGACAGTCTTATGTTTGACAGTCTAATGTCTGATAGTCTAATGCTTGACAGTCTAATGTCTGACAGTCTAATGTTTGACAGTCAAATGTCTGACAGTTTAATTTTTGACAGTCTAATGTCTGACAGTTTAATGTTTGACAGTCTAATGTTTGACACCTAACCACCACCCTTCACCACCACCCATCACCACCACCACCCATCACCACCACCATCCTCACCACCTACCACCACACTTCACCACCACCATCCTCACCACCACCACCACACTTCACCACTCACCAACCATCACCACCACACCATCCTCACTCACCACACCTCACCACGACACACCTCACCACCACCACCACCCATCACCACCACCAACACTCATTACCACCACCCCTCACCACCACACCTCACCACCACCACACCTCATCTACTGTCCTCCACCACAGAACACAACACTGCGGTACCCTACACTGCATCCCTCCCAGTTACAGCAAGACGCGCTTCGACGACCCTCACCACAACTCCACAGACCAGGTGGATGGTCATACCTGCAGTTTTATCATCGCCTACGAAGCTTACCCTGCCCAGGACTGGCTCTCTCCCGACGGTGCCGCCTGTGGGACTGATAAGGTAACAAACATGAGGAGGGGGGGAGGTGGGGTAGGGAGAAGGGGAGGTGGGTAGGGGAAGGGGAGAATGAAATGAGATAAGATAGAGGAGAGAATAGGAGAAAGAGAGAATGTAGGGAGAGAAAGAGAGAGAAAGTATTAGGAGAGAGAAAGAGAGACTGAAAAGGGAAGAGAGAGGAAGAGGGGAGAGGGAGAAAGAGAGAATGTAGGGAGAGAAAGAGAGGATGAAGAGAGAGAGAGAGAGAGAGAATAAAAGAAGTAATACCTGGCTGTTTCTCATAGTTACCAACCTAACCTAACCTAACCTTCAACAATCTATTGGTTAGTTGAATAATGGTACAATATTTTTCATAGACAACAAAGAATGACGTAAATGGATGGTGAATAATGAGAAAGAAAGATTACATTACCACTATTGTTCATCGTGCAGAAAACTTTTATTAGCAAAGTGAGTGAAAATGATTACTTGACTACCGGATGTGTTTGATGATCTGCAATATATCTTAGCCAGTGTACTCTCTCTCTCTATCTCTCTCTGTCTCTCTCTCTCTCACACCCTCCTCCATACACCACCCTAACACACATACCTCCCTCATCTCTCCTTCTACAGATGTGTATCAACCAGAAGTGCGTCATGATCCCTTCTGCTGGCGGGGACTGTGCTGGCGGGTGTTCCGGACATGGCGTTTGTAACAACCTCGATCACTGCCACTGTGACCCTGGCTACAGCCCCCCAAGCTGCTTATTCCCTGGTACTGGGGGGTCTATAGACAGTGGGGCGGTAAGTGAAGCACAAGGTGAGTACAGGAAGAAATTGATGGATAGAGATAGATAATGATATAAGTAAAGTTAATTAAGGAGGTAGATAGATAAAAGAACTTGTTATGTGTGTAATTAAGAGGCCCTATATAGAGAAAAGTCCTCTTAATGATGACAGTTAAGTTCATAGACACCTAAGAGTTGATAAGTGAAGTAATTAAGAGCTAATTAATATGATTAAGGAAGGGGGGGGGGGTATATGTCCCAGCTGCTAGGCGACAGAATGGAGGATCTTCGTTAAAGAAAATATGTTTTTTCCAGACTACAGTGGGGTGATCACGGCCTCGTGGGTGTTGGTGACCTTGGTGGTGACGGTGTTGGTGATCATGTGCTGCTTCTGGGGTTACATACGGAGGTGGTGGGAGAGACGGGGTCGCGGCTGTGTATCCTCGAAACTCCCTTGCTGCGCCTCCTGCATCGACACCTGCTGCTGCCCGATCATGACGAAGTTCACCCACTGGCTGGTGACCGTCGGCTCGTCCCGGGAGAAAAACCGAAGTGTCAAGAAAGAAATTCACACAGGAGACGCCGAGGAAGGAGTGGACGAAGCTATGGTCTGCTCCGTCGACGTGGATTTTAAGGGAGTATCTCACACCAACTCCTGGGGCGTGGCGGACCAGAAGCTGGTCACAGATGTGATCACAATCACGCCCAAAAATTCTCCGGATTTACGGAGGAAGATCCAGCTGCCCTCAAATTCACCAGTTCTTCACCGGAAGTCTGTAGACAGTCTCGACCGTCCAAACTATTTCCAATCTGTCTCAGTAGACTCCGGTTGCGTGTCTGATTCTGACGAAGGCATCTCAGGCAAACATTCCCCAGTGCACATGTCGATGACCAGTCTGATTAGTGCCTTCAGGAGGTTTAACACGAAACGTGGTACAACGCCACCGGAAAATGACTCACGACGATCTAGAAACTTGGGGAGTCTGAAATCGATGCCACTTAGTCGGTTTGTTGTGGATCCTCTGGCGGGGAGTCGCAGCTCCAGGCAGGTCACACCTCCCCCAGACCACATGAAGCATGGCTTCCGCCGCTCCATCTCTACTGACGTTACCAGAGGGCGGCATGGAGGGGCCCCACCACCCCCTCCACCCTCACTCAAGCCTCACAAGAGCGACGACAACTTAATAAGCAGCAATAAGTTGGCTAATAATCATTTTCTTTCATCCGAGAATGGAAATATACACAAAATTAATTCAGGCACTCAATCTGGCTCCCGTAGCCATCATTCTTCTGATGACGGGTCAGGAGTGGACTCCCAGGCTGTGAGGAAACCAATAATGCCTTTCAAGAAATCTCTCTCGCCGCTAAAACCTTCTCCTCCTCTTCCACCACTGGCGAAATCGAAACCGTACACCGCCAGTGTGGGCAAGAACAGCGCCACGAACCGTCAGAATGGCAACATCAACAAAGTTCCTCTCAAGCCTCCACAGATTATGACGTCAAACAACCAATTAAGAACTGGAGGGTCAGCGGCCAACAACACAACAAATTCTGGAAACACAACCAAGAAGAAAAATGTGCTGGACATGGCGCGAAAATTTGAAGCCTTGTGAGACACTTGCGGAAAACAAATACAAATAGAACAGTTTGTTGACTCCTCTGTGAGACGACCAGTAGCGTCTTCCGAGGCGAAAATAAGGAAACATGTGATGAAATGTTGAATATTTTCTGAAGCATGACGACTCAAGGTCTGATGGTGAATCTCATAACATTTTCTAGTCAAAGACAAACTCATCAACAGTTACCAAAGACTCATGAATTGTCTAGTGTCTGCTTGGTGGTTGTATTTAAAGTGTAAACTATCACAGAACACGACCTTTTGTTATGATAATTCAAGACAGGTCAAACAAGTGAATTTAAAACGTGTATCATTTAGGTTTAGCATTACGTCAACCCAGCCGGTCTCTCACTGCCAGTCACCCCCGACTGATGTTGTTAACGTATAACACTACTTGTTAACGTGTCTGTCACCACTTGTTAACGTGTATGTCACTACTGTTAACGTGTGTCCGTCACTACTTCTGTTAACGCTATCATCACTTGTTGATGTGTGTATGTCACCACGGTTAACGTGTATGTCACCACGGTTAACGCGTGTATGTCACTACTTGTTAACGTGTGTATGTCACTACTTGTTAACGTGTGTATGTCACTACTTGTTAACGTGTGTATGTCACTACTTGTTAACGTGTGTATGTCACTACTTGTTAACGTGTGTATGTCACTACTTGTTAACGTGTGTATGTTACAACTTGTTAACGTGTGTATGTCACTACTTGTTAACGTGTGTCTGTCACTACTTGTTAACGTGTGTCTGTCACTACTTGTTAACGTGTGTATGTCACTACTTGCTAACGTGTGTCTGTCACTACTTGTTAACGTGTGTCTGTCACTACTTGTTAACGTGTGTCTGTCACTACTTGTTAACGTGTGTGTATGCTCACTACTGTTGTTAACGTGTGTAGCGTCACTACTTGTTAACGTGTATGTCACTACTTGTTAACGTGTGTCTGTCACTACTTGTTAACGTGTGTCTGTCACTACTTGTTAACGAGTGTCTGTCACTACTTGTTAACGTGTGTCTGTCACTACTTGTTAACGTGTGTCTGTCACTACTTGTTAACGAGTGTCTGTCACTACTTGTTAACGTGTGTCTGTCACTACTTGTTAACGTGTGTCTGTCACTACTTGTTAACGAGTGTCTGTCACTACTTGTTAACCTGTGTCTGTCACTACTTGTTAACGTGTGTCTGTCACTACTTGTTAACGTGTGTCTGTCACTACTTGTTAACGAGTCACATACATAAATGACTTGCTTCCTAAAAATGAGATTAATTAATCCACTGAGACTCTACCTTAAGTGAAAAGAAAACAGTTTATCTTACGACTTTTTGTGAATATGTTGTGCTCATACCACGGCTCACTTATGTTGTGCTCATACCACGGCTCACTTATGTTGTGCTCATACCTCGGCTCACTACAGCCGGTTCCTCATACCCTGCCCATTTTATGTTGTCTCTCATACCACGGCTCACTTATGTTGTCTTCATACCGGCTCACTTATGTTGTGCTCATACCACGGCTCACTTATGTTGTGCTCATACCACGGCTCACTTATGTTGTGCTCATACCTCGGCTCACTACAAGACTGATATTATTGGTATTTATTATATCAAAACCACTGCTTAATTCATTCCAATTTTGGTTCATATTAATAACTGATAACAAAGGAAATTGCAATAGATATTTATGTTAATGCAATAATAACTTTTTCTTATTTACCCTTTACATAAATGATATTGCAATCGATGTTTGATGTATTGCAATATTTAAAAAAAATTAGTTACCATTGCAATAGGTGTTCAATTCAGTGTAATATTCGTTTTTTTAGGGGGGGTAGTCACCTAACCTAACCCTTAAGTTCATTTTGTGATATATGGAGAATAATTTTTATATGGTTAGGTTAAGGTGTAATTCAATTCAATTTCAATTGTTTATTCCTTGATAGAGGAAGCGGGATCCTAGTGCTGTCACTAGGTACCCCTGTACAATGACACCAGAAGCATCTGGCAAGTGTGACAAGTATATACAGTATAAATATTATAAAGGGGCTTACTAAAGCCTAAGGAAGGAAGGATATTCCTTTAACACATAATCAATATTATTTACATAATATCTGGCCAGTATGGGGAGGATCATCGTGTCTCCGTCAGGGGGTCGTGGAGTGGTGGTCCAGCAGGCGTCATGGAAGCGTTGTGTGTGGGGACATCTTAGGAGGTAGTGGATAAGGGTGCGGCTGTCGGGTCTTCTGTATAATGGTTAAGGTGTATTATTGTGAATACTCAGTGTTATAATACTTCATTAGGGTGTATAATGTATAGAGGGTGTGTATATATACTGTACGCGTGTATGTATGTTGGTGTATGTCCGAGAGTTGTCAATCATAAGGTGCCTTTAATGAAACGGATACGTATTAAAATAATCATACAAACATACATACAAATACACACGCAAACACACATACACTATGCACACACACACACACATACACACACACACACACACACACACACACACACACACACACACATTAATGGTTAAGTATGGTTTAATATCTGTCTCTCATGCCTTACAAATCATAACATGAGCATTGTGTAAATAATGACACGGGGTTATTAATAAAATTTTACATGATATATGATGAAATTAATTAATTTACGGTATAATGACACATCTTTATAACATAACGTAACCAAACCTAAACTAACCTAACCTAAGACGATCACTCTGCACCGTAATAAGAAGGTGTCAATACTTTCGAGTTAGCCCGACTGCATACCGAGGCAGACAAGTGCCAATGCCGGAAAGACGTTGCCGCCGGCCCTCCCGCACTACCCTCCACACGTGCTACATCTATGGAGGACACTGCCGGTCCCGTATCGGCCAACTCTTTAGTGTGTGATGAACCAACTACACCACCTTGAAACCAAGATAATATGACCTTAAAGACATGTCTACCCTCGGAGCCAGGACACACACCGATAAGATAGCCAGCATCATCCGGTAGACTCCACTAACACCAAGTTAAATATAGTGGCGTCTCTAGAGCTTTAAACCTTCAACAATAACAGAATTTTTTTTCACATCCGGGCAACCTGCTGGTGACGTCACTGATAGAGTTGCAGGAGGGTCAATCAATAATAATAATAATAATAATAATAATAATAATAATAATAATAATAATAATAATAATAATAATAATAATAATAATAATAATAATAATAATAATAATAATAATAATAATAATAATAATATGAAGAAGAAGAAGAAAAAACAATAAATAAAATAAACAAAAATAAAAATATAAGTACAAAAAACAAACAAAATATCTAATGTTTGAGAAGAAATCCATACATGACATTCATAAAAAAAATGAATAACACAATGAAAAGAATTACCATATGAGTTTACGTTAATAACCAGCATTATATTCTTACATTATACTGTTAATCTGTAGTTACTCCCTCCCTATATATTTAATTCCTATTGTGATCCGCCAAAGCTAAGGTACTAATGAAGTTGATGATAGTCTTGACTTTTAAGATATTCACAGTTAAATTATCCAAAGTTACCATTGGGATAAAGGAATTACACAGCCTCCTGAACTAACGAAGACCAATACTAGCAACCTCCAGAGAGAGAGAGAGAGAGAGAGAGAGAGAGAGAGGTCAAGCTAAAAAGCATACATACCATAGAAATGTTTTACAAGTACAGGTATAAAGACAATAACAACAGCTACAATTACAGGTCCAGCTACAAATTCAGAGTACAGATAAAGATACAGGAATAGGTTCAGGTTTCAATAGTTCAATAGTTTAAAATCCACTGTAATCCTTGAAATTGATGACTTAACATATTGAATACGACGACTTAACACCTATGAATACAATAAGATAACTGTATATTAACCGAGTAACTGTTTGGTGACTACCCAACTTCCCGTCCTGTTCGGAAGCATGAGGCAAGCGGCGGAAACGAGTGCGTGTGTGAGTCAATTTACGGCGAAAGAATACCGCTGTCAGGTTAAGAAATACTGAGTGTGTAACGTACCATCTCTCCATTACTGAGATAGACAGAAAGAGACACAGAGAAACAGAGGGAGAGACATGGAGAGACAGAGACAGAGACAAACAACAGGTGAGCCATGTTATCAACACCCTCGAGGTAGCAGCAGCTATCATCCCACAGGACGCAGCTGCACTTTTCCAAAATTAGTCTCGCTATTATCTCCTGCCAAGCTTATTAACACCAGTAAAGGCAAACACAATTAATGATAATGTAAACACGATAGATATTACACACACACACATACACACACACACACACACACACACACACACACACACACACACACACACACACAAAACACACTATTTTGAGTCAATGTTGGCGAACCTCAAAACAACGAGATATGTAAACAAAACTCCAGTTACCTGTGCAGATGGATGCGCAGTAGCGATGACCGAGGCCTAACCTAACCAAACCATAATTGGGAGAACCTGAAGATCAGACACCCCTTTAGTTTATTTATACCTGAGAATTAACCACTCTAACGCTAACCCGACTTAACCTAATCTAACTTAAAACCTAACCTAACTTAACTTAACTTATCTTAACCTATTCGAATCCTTCCAGGTTAGGTTATGATGTTTATTCTTCATGTGAAATAAACTAAGGGTATCTAATATTCAGGTGACATAAGCTGTGTTGTTTGATCATCAGGTGGTCCAAGTGGCTACAGTGCTCTTCTATCTCGCGGTTCACTGGTTCGTGCCCAGGTGAGAACGAACACCTACTTTTCAGATGGGGAAGTAAAAACGATCGAGTGTAGTGTCAGCCACGTTGCTTCCTTGTTTACCATTGAGTTAGGATTCAGTGTGCTATATCCGCACTGCCCTAACTGGCTGTCAGGCGTATGGAGTTAACTTTCACATAGTAAATAAAACTGTGACACTCCTTTAGCCTGAGCAAGAAGACCTTTTATGTCATCACGTTATGAAAAAATAGATTAGTGGAAAGGTTTGGATTATGACCTGACATGACAACATCATCTTTACCTAAAGTTACTAACCTTGCCCCTGTGTGGCCTTGTTACCTGTGTGGCCTCGCTACTTGCGTGGCCTCCCTGCCTGTGTGGCCTCGCGACTTGTGTGACCTCCCTGCCTGTGTGGCCTCGCTACTTGTGTGGCTTCGTTAATTGTGTGGCCTCGCTATCTGTGTAGCCTCGCTTCTTATGTGGTCTCGGTACTTGTGTGGCCTCGCTACTTGTGTGGCCTCGGTAATAGTGCGGCCGAGCGACTTGTGTGGCCTTGCTACCTGTGTGGCCTCGCTACTTGTGTGGCCTCGTTACCTGTGTGGCCTCGCTACTTGTGTGGCCTCGCTACTTGAGTGTTCTCGCTAGTTGTGTGGCCTCGCTACTTAAAAAATAATAATTATTGTTAACCAGTATTAAAATTCAATATGAGTGTAGTGTACTTGTGACTCACCGAGTATATGCAGTGTAGAGTCGTCGAAAACATTGCTAGATTTATCATTGTTTTGTATTAAGATCTGGTCATTGTTTTTGGCTGGCCCTGCATACACACAGAGCCGGAGAAGAACACAACAAAGGCAAAGACACAGTCCTTGGTGCCTGTGGGTGTGTGATGACTGACGGGGCATTCCCAGTACCACTAAGTCCTATCTTGTAAAGGACTAGTCGGTGTCCTCTCTCTCTCTCTCTCTCTCTCTCTCTCTCTCTCTCTCTCTCTCTCTCTTACTCTAATAACACCATCACTAAATATTCTCTACTTCCTGTCAGTCTTTGGAAGTTTCGAAATACATACATACATCCATACATACATACATACATACATACATACATACATACATGCATACATACAAAGGTCCATATATATCACGTATATCCTTAATCGTGAAATTTGTTTATCTTTTAACATCCGCTATAATATACGATAAGTTGTTGCATATCCGGACAAGATGTTATGCAATAGAGACGAAGAAACATTAATTAATTTAACTTATTGGTTTTTTTTTAATATTTCAACATAATAAATAAATTGATATTTATTGATTTATAATAAGTTGTATTATATGAGGTTATGATATTAAAGAGGTAAGGTTGATGATGGGTTGATGATGGGTTGATGATGGGTTGATGATGGGTTGATGGGTTGATGATGGGTTGATGATGGGATGATGGGTTGATGATGGGTTGATGGGTTGATGATGGGTTGATGGGTTGATGATGGGATGATGGGTTGATGATGGGATGATGGGTTGATGGGTTGATGATGGGTTGATGGGTTGATGATGGGATGATAGGTTGATGGGTTGATGATGGGTGATGATGGATGATGGGTTGATGATGGATGATGGGTTGATGGGTTGATGATGGGTTGATGGGTTGATGATGGGTTGATGGGTTGATGATGGGATGATGGTTGATGGGTTGATGGGTTGATGATGGGTTGATGGGTTGATGATGGGATGATGGGTTGATGATGGATGATGGGTTGATGGGTTGATGATGGGTTGATGATGGGATGATGGGTTGATGGGTTGATGGGTTGATGATGGGTCGATGGGTTGATGATGGATGATGGGTTGATGATGGGATGATGGGTTGATGATGGGTTGATGGGTTGATGATGGGATGATGGGTTGATGGGTTGATGATGGGATGATGGGTTGATGATGGGTTGATGTGTTAAGACAGGAAATACCGTAGATGAGAAATAAAAGAAGAAGAAGAATAAAGGAGGTGGATGGTGAAGAGGGTTTGACTATAGGAAATTTGTACGAATTAAAGGGATGGGACGGAGGGAGGGAGGGAGAGAAGGAGGGAGAGAGGGAGGTAAGGAGAGAGGGAGAGAGGGAGAGAGGGAGGGAGGTAAGGAGAGAGGGAGGGAGGGAGATTACTCAGGCCATGTTGTTCATCTCAAACTGCATTCCCTAACATTAATAAACATTCTAAATGGTTAAAACAACAAATTACTTAACCACAACATTTACCAACTAAGTGCACGATCAGTAGGATAAGATAAGGATAGTGCTATTGGGATAAGATAAGGATTTGTGGTGTATTAGGGTTAGGATGAGACTGGTGTCACTGATAAGATATTGATGGTGTAAGTTTCAGTTGAACTTGTGACACAAATTATTATATATTGTATTGGTACTTAGTGAGAGCTGTCTGTCTCTCTCTGTCTCTCTCCATCTCTGTCTCTCTCTGTCTCTCTCTGTCTCTCTCCATCTCTGTCACTCTCTGTCTCTCTCACTCTCTCGCCAGGATCACCACGAGCCTATCACAAGAAACTCCAGAAGTACAGTGCAGGTGAGGCCTCCAGGGAACACCGGGTGAGTAAATTACAGGTAGAACACCGTCACACCTGGCAAGAGATGACCTATACCTGACGAAGATCCTGGAATGTCAACTCAAGAAGACACAGTACTACGCTACCTTTCTATCGTCTATTAATATGATGCTCAGGAGGGGTAATATTCCACTTTTAGAAGACTCTGAATATTCGGGAGTATTTCATTATAAGAATGTGTTGAGTATTGTTTTGATAATGAAGAATATTTGCATTAGTAAAAGAACATCATACGGGGGGTAACTGGGGAGGCCGGGGGTGACTGTGGAAGGGGCGGGGGAATGACTGGAGAGCTAACACGTTCACATGTCCTGAGTCATAGTTATTTCTTAAAAAAAAAAAAAACGCTTGAAAAAACAAATCTATGAAACGATGTATATCAAAATATTCACTTGTTGTTTCTTTATGTGAATTTGTGTACATTATTATTAAGATTAATAATAATGTTAAATTAAAGTAACAGGCATTGTATAGACTCACATAAAAGAATTATCCATATAAGGTAATCCTATCCAGCTAAAATGTAACCCACCCCTCCCCCCTGACGGCGCACTCCTCCAGCGTGTTATCTCCCACAAGACTCAATCACAACCACCATGACCCTGTAAAAATCTTCACGAGTCTCTGCTCATGTCAGTCAGCACACCGGAAGTCGGCTTAAGATACTGTCGTGAAGCGTCGCCTTGCTCCCGCCCTCGCTAGTGTTGTAGTATCAACGTATCAGAACTGACTGACTGTTCAACGCCTCCCTCTCTTAGCGCGGACACACACAGTAGCTTTGTTTGGTGTCGTGAGGGGATGAGTGTTGACATCATTGGTTACAGAGTGAGTTAATAGTGTTCCTGGATCAAGCTTTAACATACAAAACCCTTACTATTGGTGCTCATGAGAGGTGACAAGTGTGATGACATAGTGGGTAATAGTGTGTTCTCCCCAGGCACATACTTATTGTCATATGTCGGTAATGAGCGTGATGATTAGTGATGACAAGTAGAGTGAGTTTCAGACATCCTTATAAATCAACAAAATTTAAGGTGAAGATAAACACGACTCTGTAGTTACTTGGGAAATTCCACCCAGAGCTGACAGGATCAACAAACCCCAACAGACGCGTTATAAACAGTGACTTTGATCATCGTCAACATTACAGTACAGTAGGTGATGTGTCATATGTATGTGTGTGTGTGTGTGTGTAATAATTGCCAGTGGGCTTCAGTGTTTAATTAGCCAGCTATAGCAGACAACGTGAGGTACTGTACTACTGAGAGTGGCCTGAGTAACATGTCCTGATAAGATTGTGACGCCCATGTACCAATGTTGTGACTCATAGCGTAAACATTTCCTAAAACTGCGTTGGATGACTAATCTTATTTCTTATGTACAACTTCTAATGAATTTTTATAGTGAAGTAGTGAATAAGTCGACTACGGTAGGTGATGAAAGTGGCCCTCAAACGTAGTTATATAGTGAAAAAGGACGAGTGAACTGATTAATTAATGGGACACACATCCTGAACAATACTCATGGTTTGTTGACTTCTTTTAAAGTCCGGTATACCTGTATTTATAGTTATACCTGTACCTGTACTTACATATCTACCTGTACCTGTAATTACATGTTTATCAGTAATTAACATTTACAGACACAAGGACAACAAGGACTAAAGCGTCCTCACCATGACGAGGTTCCTAGCCCCTCCAGGCAACCTCTTCGTCCTCGTGCTCCGCCTTGGCCTCTTGGTGGCGGCCTCACACCCCTCAAACCCCCACACCTCCATCTCTCCTACTGACGAAGGGGTTCTGAAGGTCTCAAGCGTCATTAGAAGTACAGGAGAGTATTTACAAACAACGGATACAGGAGACTTCATTACCCTGGCGGAAGGCTCGTACCCCTTGAAGCTCATCTCTTCAACCTCACCTCCTGACGAAGGCTCAGATAAAAGTGTCCGGGTCTTGGGTGTCGAGAGAGACGCTGGAGAACTTTTACGAACGACCGATGAACTTAGAAGAGGAGGAGCGAGAGATACCGTGACAAAAGAAGAAACGAAGGAGAATAACGAAAATGCAATGAGTGACGGGGAAGGCAACACACCACGAACCGACAACAACTTAGGTATGGTAATAGTTTTTTTCCCTACACACACACACACACACACACACACACACCGAACAAACCTATAACTACATTATACCTCAAACGTTTAAGTCACACACCTGTTGCTTACCTGCCCTATAACATCTTACCTGTAATTAACTGTCTGTAATCTCCTATATTTCACTTGTAGTTAATCTGTATCAAATAATTACTTGTATATATGTATCTCTCCTGTATCTTCCCTGAATCTCTCACGTGTACTGTACCTGTATTTACTAGGTGAAGTTTAAATGTATCAACTGTATTTTTCAGCTGTATTTTACCTGTACCTCTCACCTGTACTGTACCTGCATCTCTTACCTGTACTGTACCTGTATCTCTCACCTGTACTGTACCTGTATCTTTCACCTGTACTGTACCTGTATCTCTCACCTGTACTGTACCTGTATCTCTCACCTGTACTGTACCTGTATCTCTCACCTGTACTGTACCTGTATCTCTCACCTGTACTCTCCGTCAGGTTGGTTCCTGGAGACAGAGGGAGTTGACGTGACGACTGTACCTGTTGTAACTCGTCTGCCCCGCCCTTCACTCACCCAGAAACCTCCCACAAGCCAGGTAACTCATGTTGTAACTCATTATAAAGCTTATCAATTAACTCATCCCTATTTTTTAAGTAACTCATCTTGTAACTCATAAAGTAATAAAAAAATGTAACTGATTAGTAACTCATCCTCTAACTTAACTCGTAACTCATGGCATAGTCCATCGCGTTACTCAATGGGTAAAAACCTTCGGTCACTCACCTGTTACCTAACAGCGTTTTAACTCTAGTTGTGTCTCAGGGAGGTAACTCAGGTAACTCACTCAGAGACTCTCTCGATTACTCAGTTACTCACCACGTCGGGTAACTCACGGTGTGTAGTGCCCGATTGTAACTATATTTGTAGCTAATACCGTATGTATGTATGTATGTATGTATGTATGTATGTATGTATGTATGTATGACTGCTCTAGTTTTCCTATAAATGCATCCTGAATGTTGTGTGTTGTAATGGTCTATCGTGTTCCAATAACTACGTCACTTCCACCATTCGAGAACCACTACAGTAACAACAAAGTCATAATTATAATATGATAGAAAGAAATTAGTTAGCCGGGAATTCCTACTTAGCCGGGAATTCCTACTTAGCCGAGAATTCCCGGTTGGGCAGACAGGAGGTTCCGTAGTTGGCAATTATCATCTTGTTTACCTATCACCCAACCCATGTGGTCCTGTGGTCATCCTGCTTCTGGTAACACTTCTCCTTTGCCTTACTTCCACGTTAAGATCAACCACTATAAACAGACATTCAACAAACTTTACGGTGGGTTTTTTTATACTTTTTTTTTATAAAAGATTTCTAAACGTTCATCCTCACTATTTTAGGTTCAGCAATAAATTAACTAACAAAACTCTCTCTGACACTGCCCACTATCCCTTTACACTATGCACTGCTCAAATTATGTACACAGTCGCAATTTTACAATCAAAGAGAAACAACTAAAGACAAGACATGTTACTAATACAAGGAAGTTGTGTTGTTTAGACATACAAAAACACATACATATTTTAAAGAAAATATAATAAACATATATTTTATCACCGGATGTATTTTGTCTGTTTATCTGAAAAAATAATATTCATACCAATTATTTTAAGAGGAAAATTACAAAGTAAAGCATCGAATCTGTCTCGTTAAATTATGAGAGAGAGAGAGAGAGAGAGAGAGAGAGAGAGAGAGAGAGAGAGAGAGAGAGAGAGAGAGATTCAATTTTATTTTTGCTCTCACAGTCCCGAGATGAAACGCCTTTAACACTGGAGTTCCTTTCTGGTGATCACCGACTGGTCCTCGTCCTTCACCCTACAAGGTAACTCATGTCACTCCTCCAGGTAATTCATGTCACTCATCCAGGTAATCCTGTCACTCGTTCAGGTAACTCATGTCATTCTTCCAGGTAATTCATGTCACTCCTCCAGGTAACTCATGTCACCCATTCAATTAACTCATGTCACTTCACCAATATTAATATTATTATTATTAGTAGTAGTAGTAGTAGTAGTAGTAGTAGTAGTAGTAGTAGCCGACACAGGAGGCCATAGTGGATATCGCCGGGACCCAACCGCCAGACGATATCCTATATGATAACAGTGAGTCTACTCAACCTGAAAATGTAGTACCAATAAACGCTGCTCCAATAGTAGCAGATGTCCACGAGGTGAATGAGAGACAGCCACCACAGTGGAATGGCATGTCGATGAAAATGCGGTCATATGGGTTAAAGAAACTTCCTCATAAATTGTCAGGTGGTCGCCAGCTAACCTGTTTGAACCACCCAAGTGTGCGGTCACCAAAGAAATGATTCGGGAGATGACTAGCCTCATAACCGAGTACACTCAGGACTGCTTCCTTGCCCCTTTAGCTCTTCAAATACTGGCAATAATACCCCATCTATTCTGTCAGAGGACACACACAAAGACTAAGCACAAAGAAAATGTGGCAGCAATGAAGAGAAGATTGACACTGTGGCAGACTGGGGCCCTTGATGATCTCCTATGTGAAGCAAAAACACTGCAGGAGAGACTGAAATTTATAGGAGACGGAAAGCAAAACACCGATGACGTCGCAAAAAATTTTGGAAACAAAATGCTTGTGGGAAAAGTGTCCTTGGCGGTCAGATCTCTCACAGAGGAATCCTCCGGTGGTGTTCTGCCAATAAGCAGAGAGATATTAAAACAAATTAAAGGAAAAACACCCCCCTGCAAGTGAAGAGGAAGGCACCAGGTTCCAGGGTGACGAAAACCCACCAAATGCTGTCCTGTTCGAAGAAAATAACAGGAGGGATGGTGTGGAAAAAAGCACTGAAAACTCAAAGAGGGGCCGGCCCTTCAGGTCTGGATGCAAACGGTTGAAGAGTCATCCTCAGCACTAACAAGTGTGGCCCCGTAGCAAGTGATCTCTGCACTGCCATTGCCGCCCTTGCAAGAAAGCTAGCAACTTCGTGCTGCCAGCACCTCCATGCTCTGACGGCCTGCCGCCTCATTCCCCTGGATAAGAATCCAGGATGTAGGCCGATAGGGGTAGGGGAAGTGCTGAGGCGGATCATCGGAAAATGCATAATGGAGGTGGTAAAGGATGATATCTGAGTAGCGGCGGGGAACCTGCAAGTTTGTGCTGGCCACCAGGCTGGAGGGGAAGCTGCCATTCACGCCATGAGAACGATATTTGAGCAGCGTGACTGTGAGGCCGTTCTCCTGGTTGATGCTTCCAACGCATTCAACATACTTAACCGCAAGGCCACACTGCACAACATCATGATCAAGTGTCCAAGCTTTGCAATGTATGTTGAAAACACCAATAGGAATTCATCAGACCTCAATATAGTAAACATCAAGACTCCAAGAGGTGATACCATCATACAGTCAACTGAAGGAATAACGCAGGATAGCTACTTATGTATTTGGATATTTAATATTAAGGTAATAAAATGGTGGCGAAGGTAAGGCTATTGGGGGAGGCTGGAGGCCATTATAAAAAAAAGTAGTAGTAGTCACCAACTAACTATCGTATTAACCTCTCCAGGGATCTGTTGGCCGCCACCTACACTGAACCTGCTGACGAAAGAGCATCCGCCCTGGTAAGTAACTCAACATACACACAGACACGTACGAAGACATTATATATAGGCTATATATATATATATATATATATATATATATATATATATATATATATATATATATATATATATATATATATATATACATATATATATATATACATATACTGTATATATATATATAACACGAAGACATACAGGGTATAGCACAAGCGCCACCGACGCCATAATCATGTTTATGACTGCAAACGGTTCTTAAAACATCTTATTTTCATGAGCTGATGGATGAAGTGCAAAATCACCACTGTCCACATGGTTAAAAGTCCATAGACAAAATCCTAACTCTGGTCCGCATCTCATTGAAGCGACATTTTGACCATTTATGCGTGGTGAATGTAGCACATCCGCCAAATTCTTTGTGTCATAAGGCTGTAAGTGTGTTTGTGGGCTTGGGGTGAGGGTTTTGGGGTAAGAAGGGAGTTTGTTGGTGGAGGTAGCCAATCAGCAAGCAGAACTGCATGCCGGGCAGGGCTGGTGGAGCACTTTTTTCAGTCCTTGTCTTGAGATTTCAGAGCAGAAGAGGTGCATCTCGTGCTAAGGGAGCGAGCTTTTCGTCTTTAATATCGCCGTTGGCGGTTGTGTATTATCACTACACAACAATGTCAAGTGATAGTGACTACTTTGATTATGTTGAGACCCAGCCTGAGCCCTCTACGTCGATTGGAGGTTTCTCTTCAGTAATGTTTTATTCTCAGAAGCCACCCAGGGAGTCAGTGTCCCAGAGCCTGATGACAGTGAAGCCTCCCACAGTGGGAAAACAATTTAGGGTGTATTTTTATTATGATAATCATGATTGGAAAACAAAAACATTTACCTGAGTTTTTATTACAAAACATTAAGGAAACAGTATTTTTGGTTAGGTTGGGTTAGGTTAAGTGAGGTTAACAGTATCGCTGCCAAAAAATATTTGCATAATCTATAAACATTCGGCTTCATTTTAAAACAGACTACAACATTCTAACTAGAATACTTTCCATGTTATCAATTTCTGAATGTTGCAAACTTTGAATGCATTTCCTGACAAAAAATGAGAATGGTGCTTGTGCTAGTTTCTCCACGCAACGCCACAGACATACAAACACGGATGTAGGCACGTACGTCGATAAAGACACGCAGTAATGACACAGTTTTTTTATTCTATCTCTTAACCTTTTCACTGTAGACAGTAGTACGATGTGGCCTTCTGGAGGTGACGTGGTTGACAGCACATACACACACACACACACACACACACACACACACACACACACACACACACACACAGAACTATTGTATTATTGTGTTTATTTAAAGTACTCATTACCAATAAAAATCAGGTCTCATACATACATACATACATACATACATACATACATACATACATACATACATACATACATACATACATACATAACCTTTAGACACACATCTTCTTTATTTGTAATTTATATTCCTAAAATTTCCAACAAAAAAATGTTCTACAGAAATGCCTTCTAATGATCTATATACTACACAGTAATCTATATTGACCAACCCATTGATAGAATCGCCATTACCTACCTGCAGAAGGCGAGTCCGAAGGTGTGTGAATACCAGGGTGTGGTGAAAGGTGTGGCCAACTCCTGGGCCGCCCTCACTCTCTGTGGCGGTGTCAGGTGAGTCTATGTCTGTCTGTGATTGTGTTAGGGTGCGTCTTCACTTGGGAATTTTAGCCCGAACGAACCAAACGAGCAGACAACGCACGAACGAACAGAACGAGCAATTCGAGTGCAAGCTCTCTGTATTGTGTGTTCGACGGTGCTCGTCTTATTCCCACCGTGTTCCCCAGTTGAACCATGGATCTCACAGTGGCAGCAGGTGCATTCTTCATTATTTACTCCTTAGCAAAGAGGAAGAAACAATCTAGGAGAGTGTGGTTAAGGCGACTATTTTCTGGACGGAAAAATATGTCCCTGTTGAGTGACATGGATCATGGCCATTTGAAAAACTTTACTCGAATGACACCCTTTTCCCTCCTGAAGCTGGCAAGTAACCTTCCCATTTTTTCTTCCCTTCTCCTGGGAACATTCCATAATTTGTGCAATGCTCACCTAGCAATCATGGTTCCTAACTTTATTGTAGTACAAGCCATGTTGGGGATTCCACAGATGGAAAACGTTTGGCGAGCTCGGTTCGGCTCGGACACGTCCTTACTAGCCGAATTCTGATCGGCGCGTTGTGCTCGTTTGGTTAGTTCTGGCTAAAATGCTCAGGTGAAGACGCACCCTTAGAAAAATATCTGTCTGTTGTAGCTTTGTTTGTGTCTGTCTGTGGCGGAGCCAGGGATGTCTGCTTCTGTCTATGGTTAAGTGTGCGTGTGTGTGTGTGTGTGGCCACACAGTTTACATTTAGTTTTGTTCCCATCTGCTTGAGTGTGTTTGAGGGTGGAAAACGGACGTATGTCATTTTCCTGAAGGTGGTGTTGTATCCTCCAGGGGCGTGGTGGTGGGTGGGGGTCAGGAACTACTGGTGGAACCCTCGCCTGGAGCCTCGTCGCTAAAAGATCCCCATCGCGTCTTCTCTTCCTCTCTCCTTCACGTCTCACCGGGATCCTGTGGTAAATGGAGCCTTAGTCCTGTAGAAGGATAACTTTAACCCTTTCAGACCAATGATTTAACCCCTTGAGAACGATAATTAGACCCCTTTGACACCGGTAGTTTAACTTCTTTGAGACTGATGGTTTAACCACTGGAGAATTTTTTGACATGCAGCATTAAACTATATATACAGACAACCTCGTAACCCAAATTAATCTAATCTTATCTCAATTATCTACCCTGTCCAACTTGTACAGGAGTGACCACTACTGTCCAGAAGTTCACGGGTGGCGAAGACAACAGCGGTAACAGTAGTAGAAACAAACGTCGGAAAGCCGTGGCAGTCTCTCACAGGGTAATGTATGTTCTTTCACTCTGGATGGGTGTCGGGAGGATACCAAAACTCACCTGCCTCAGATAGATTTACCTGTTGGAGCGAGGGTCAAAGAATGTTTCCCCTCAACTGTGAGTAACAAGTTGAAAGGACGTGTGATACTTAAGAGACGTGAATACTATTTATCGATAACTTCTTTCGCCTTTTCCTCCTTTTTATCTTCTCTTTCTTTCCTCTCGTCCTCCTCTTCCTCGTCCACTTCTTCTTTTTCCTCCTCCACACCTCCTGTAACCACTTTTTGTGTCTCCTCTTCCTCCCCTCCTTCTCTCTCCCCACTCCTCCTCCTCTTCCTCCTCTCCTCATCTTTTTTCTCTTCCTACTTATCAACCTCCTCCTTCTTCTCCTCCACACTTCCTTCATTAATGTCAATGTCTTTACAGGAGCGTCGGGCTGCGTTCTACGGTGGGTCACTGTGGACGAAGGACACCACCAGGTTTGTGGAGTTGGTCTTGGTGGCGGACAAGAGCTATTACGACACTTACGGTCCTAACACCCGGGAACGCTGTAAAGCCATAGTCAACATTGTCAACGCGGTGAGTAAAGGTGTGTGTGTGTGTGTGTGTGTGTGTGTGTGTGTGTGTGTGTGTGTCTGTGACTCCAATATACCACATTACAGGTATATCTTTCCTTTCACTATACTTTTCAATATACCGTACCACTAAATATAACTGTAACTTCCAATGTATCAAACCAATGTACCACACCACTGTACCACACCACTATTACAGATATACCGGCCGCTGGGTTTGGTAGTGGTTTTGGTACATATCGAAGTATGGAAAACGAGGGACCAATTTCAGGTGACCAACAATTTTAAATCAAACTTGGAAAAACTGAAAGAGTACACAGAACAACTGGATGTGGAGAGACCTGACCTGAACTACGACAATATCGTCCTAATCACGTGAGTCTTCCGTGGTCAATGTAAAGGGCAATGGTGGGTAGGAAGGGCAATGGTGGGTAGTAAGGGCAATGGTGGGTTGGAAGGGCAATGGTGGGTTGGAAGGGCAATGGTGGGTAGGAAGGGCAAGGAAATTTATATGTTGATAAGGTAAAGCTGGCAACAAAGGAAGGGCAATGATAGTCGGAGGGAAGGGCAAGGAAGATGGGGGTCATTCATTGATGGGCAAGGAAGGACAAATATGGGGTAATGAGCAGGAAACCAAGGGCAAGGGTCATTGGGCAGTACTTGGATAGGAAGGGCAAGGGGGATAAGATTAAGGAGATCGACGCTGGACAGGTGGGCAATTGAATTAGGGCAGGAGGAGGGCAATAGTTGACGGAAGATGTCCGTCTACCCGTCTTCTGGGAGGTGAAAAAACTACTGTAAGAATAACGTAATATCTATCTATCTATCTATCTATCCATCTAATCTATCTATCTATCTATCTATCTATCTATCTATCTATCTATCTATCTATCTATCTATTTATCTATCTATCTATTTATCTATCTATCTATCTATCTATCTATCTATCTATCTATCTATCTATCTATCTATCTATCTATCTCACTTCCATCAACTCTCTCACTCAAGAAATTTAACAAATTAGTTGACCCATTTCATCTCATGTCAGCTCGTTACACCTCTACACTAACTACAGTTAATGGTGAACAGAATAAGATGAATTTTATTTCTATTTACAGAGTAGTCGACTTCGATGGCACCACTGTGGGTTTTGCTACTGTAGGTGGGATGTGTAGGTAAAGTCTCTCTCTGTCTCGTTGTATTTCTCTAGGGAGTGATTTTGTTTATGTCTCTGTAACCCTGTATCATCTCTCTGTGTCTCTCCTATGTGTGGTTATTTGTTCTCTCTGAGTTTAATGTCTCTCTCTATATAATGTAATGTTAATTATCTCAAAATAACTCACTGATCAGGGGTGGAATACTGTAATGGCTGTAAGTCCTTTTCTGTAACTCAAAACAAATCATCCGCCATCTTGTGACGTCATATATTGTATCTGAAGGCTGTAACTTAAAGGACCTTCAAAGTTCCTGTAACGATACAAACCTGGACATAGCCTGTATCTCTTGGTACTCGAGATACAAACTTCACCACACTTTATATGAACCCCAAGTGTTTTTTTTTTTAATTTAGACGATGTTTTTTTGTCTAATTTCCCCAATAAAACATCCTTTCGTTTTATCATTTCTTCCAGCATGGCTAAAATTCATCCTCTGAAAAAAATTATAGCTTCTTTTGATAGCTGAACCCTCCATCTCCAGACTCTGAAGCTTGTTTTGTTTATAAATTACGTGCCCTCAAGTCAGCTTTGAAAGCGTAATAGTAGATTACAACAAGAGCTTTGCCGAGTGTGTAACTTAGGAAGTGTTGTGAGTGAGTGCCTGGCCCTTGTATCTCTCTCTGTAGTAATCTTGTTATGTATATATTTAATTTACTGTTGATTATTTTGAGTAAATCAGTAAGGGGTGCCCGAACACACAGGAACTACCCCCCCCCCCCTAAATAAAAATCTGCTGAGACCCACAAAACCTCCACAAAGGAAGGCTCATAAAAAATTCAGCAAAACACACACAAACACATCAAATAAGACTCTCCCCCCCCCAACAGTTAAGACTCTTAAAAAAAAATCTGACCCACCCGATCATATACAAAGACCCCCTTAATTATCACCCAAGACCCTCCAAGTTATCATTTAAGACCAACTTTTTTGGTTCGGCAGTAACAAGGACTCCGTGTCGGTGGTTCAGGACCGAAGCGAGGAACTCGGCGTTGTGGCCCAAACCATGGCACACGAGATGGGTCATAACCTGGCCATGGTACACGACGAAGACATAGAAGATTGCCTCTGTGAGGCTAACAAGTGCATCATGAGCCAGACTGGAGAGTGAGTGACAATAAGAGTTTCGGTGAGAGAAAGGCAAGGAGGGACAGGAAGAGTGGCTATGGTGGCTATAGTCAAGGAGGAAGTGTGCCAGTGTGTCAAGTAAATCTCTCTCTCTCTCTATCTATCTCACACACACAACACCTTTGCCATCCCCTTCTGGGGCTTACAAAAAGTTATAAATGTTATAACAATACAATAATTATCTTTACAGCAATGAAATAGTTCACTTTGACATGAACACTGTACTGTACTACATTAAAAGAACACATGATGTAATCACCTGCCTGCTCCCTGCCTCCCTCCGTCTCTCCAACTCACAGTGTCTTGGGGAGCGTGTAGGGAGGGAGGCAGGGAGTAAGCAGGAAGGGAGGGGGGAGTGGGAGGCAGGGACATTTTTCTGGGACACCCTATAATACTGAGTTGGTGTCACAGTGGTATAAAACAATATACTGTCTATATGTTTTGAAACTGTGAGTATACAGCCAAAAATGGTATCCATCTTCAAGTAAACAAACAAACAAGTCATGCTCTCCTTCACAGTGCGTGGTTTAACTCCAAAATTGGGTGGAGCTCCTGTAGTAAACAGCTTCTGGCCTCCGGGTTCGAGTCCAACTCCTTCAAGTGCCTGAAGAACGTGCCGACGACGCTGGTTAGTGACAGCAGCTGCGGTAACGGCGTGGTGGACCCTGACGCCGGGGAGCAGTGTGACTGTGGCCCCGTTGAGTTCTGTGACAACCTCTGCTGCGTCGCCGCCACCTGCCGCCTCGCTGTCAACGCTTCCTGCGCCACCGGGTCATGTTGTGACACTCAGGTGAGGCTTAACCTCCTGTTGTGACACTCAGATGAGACTCAACCTCCTGTGGTGACACTCATGTGAGACTCAACCTCCTGCAGTGACACTCAGGTGAGACTGGACTTATATTGATTTGCAATATCTGTCAAGACGGCCGTTGACACCAGCTGCCCTTGATAACCATTCACTGCCGACTCTCCATCTAGGCAGGACACCACAAATGATAAAGGATCCCTCCCTTCACCCCAAGATGTTCTATAGCTGTCTTGAACTTATCAAGGAGCTCCTTACTCCTACACCGGCCAATATCATTGCCTCCTCCACTGAGGCAGATAATGGGTTTGTTCCCATTGCCCCCTGAAATTTTGTGAGGAAACGAAAGGAAGAAAACTGAAACATTTCACCTCAGATGCTAAAGAATAACTGATATATAATAAGTAATACATAGATAAATTGATAAATGAGTAAATACACCGTACAACATTATTGAATAAGAAAAAAAAAATATATATATACTGTATATATATATATATATATATATATATATATATATATATATATATATATATATATATATATATATATATATATATATATATATATATATATATATATATTATTTTTACTTTGTTCTATCTGAGAAATTTTAGGAACTTATTTTTGTTAATTTTGTATTTATTTATTTATTTATTTATTTATTTATTTATTTATTTTTATTTTTTCATGTCATGCCTACCAGACGTGTCATCTGAAGGGTGAAGGAGTGATGTGTCGTGCGGCGGTAACGGAGTGTGACTTACCAGAGTATTGCCCACCTGACTCTGAAGTATGTCCCAACGACGTCAAGTTGAGAGATGGGACCCCGTGTAAGGAAGGCAAGGTGAGTGAGTCCCAAAGAGTCCCAAGACCAGTAAGGGAAATACGTTTTGGTTTCCCTGAGTTTCCCTTTTCCAGACAATAAATGAGAAGGTATTTTTGGGGTCCAGGTAATTGGTGTAAGGTTTTGGTGTAGGGAGCAGCAGTAATCCCTTACAGGAGTCTCAAGACTAACATTCCATGATTTCAGGGTAACTGCTACGAGGGTGAGTGTGGGAGCCACGAGGGAAGATGCCAGGCAGTGTGGGGCCATAGTGCCACAGTCGCCAGCCCCGTCTGCTTCAACAAGATCAATATTAAAGGAGCTTCTTATGGTAACTGTGGCAAGAGCGACAATTCTAAGATCCCTCATATATGTTCCCTAAGGTGAGTGTGTGTGTGTGTGTGTGTGTGTGTGTGTGTCATATATGTTCCCTAAGGTGAGTGTGTGTGTGTGTGTGTGTGTGTGTGTGTGTCTGTGAGTGTGTGTGTGTGTGTGTGTGTGTGTGTGTGTGTGTGTGTGTGTGTGTGTGTGGTTGTGTGTGTGTGTGTGTGTGTGTGTGTGTGTGTGTGTGCGTGCCTTGCTAAGCCTTGTCAGCTCACCACTACTCCTTTACCCTCTCCTTCGCCCTCAGAGACGCCCCCTGCGGAACTCTCCACTGTCACCCGGGCCTGAATGAGGAACCCAAGTTATATGGCTCTTTCAGGTATGGTAGCCAATATCAGGGCCGTGAATTATGTTCTTACATCCTCGCCACCAGTGACATCTCCAGTAGCGTGTGGCTTTCTCCTGACGGCGCTAAGTGTGGCGAGAACCAGGTACTATATTATGTTGGTGATGGTCATATTGTTTATGTTAACTGTGGCTGATATGGATCTCTTACAGATTGGCACCACAGATTATTTCATCTGAACAATAGGCACCCCAACCTAATTACAACTGAAGACTAAGCACCCTAACGGTAAACTTGATTTTACTTAAACTAATTAAACCTAGCTTAACCTAACCTAACTTAGCCTAAACAAACCAAACTTAATTTAACCAAACCTAACTTAATCAAACTTAATCTAATCAAACGTAACATAACCTAAGCTAACTTAACCTAACGTAAGCCAAGCTAGGATGATTAATTTTCAGGTGATCTGGCGATACAGCTACTATTACTTGTACTACTACTACTACTACTACTACTACTACTACTAATAATAATAATAATAATAATAATAATAATAATAATAATAATAATAATAATAAATTTTTCAGGACAAGAACTTACGTACATATAGTAATTAGTTACAGCATTAAACAAAACAAATGAACGATCTTATCAACAACAACAACAAACTTTAACAATCTCCAAATATTTTTTTTCTTCCTGACGAAGTTGTGTGTGAACCAAAAGTGCCAGGACGTTGGTGCTCCTGAAGGGGACTGTAGAGATGGGTGTTCTGGCCGTGGCGTGTGTAATAACCAGAAACACTGCCACTGTGACCCAGGCTATGCACCTCCTGCTTGTAATTACGTTGGTCGTGGTGGTTCGATTGATAGCAACCCGATGGAGCCGCCGAGGAGTGAGTAGTCTTCAGTGTGGATGTTCGTGTACTAACTCTCTCTAGTGTGGATGTCTCTTAAGAACTCAGTGTGGATGCTCGTATACTAACTCTCTCTAGTGTGGATGTCTATTAAGAACTCAGTGTGGATGTTCGTGTACTAACTCTCTCTAGTGTGGATATCAACTAAAACCTCAGTGTGGATATCGTGTACTAACTCTCTGGTGTGAATACTGCATAGCAGCTCTCACTTGTTGTCCAGGGGTGGGTTCATTTGTCCAGAGGTGGATTATTTTTTCCAGGGGTGGGTACTTTTAACATGGGTGGTGTGTTTTTGAGTGCTCTCGTTAATTAGACTAAAGTGACATCATCATCTGACTGCTGGAGAGAGTGTTTCATAATGATCTGTTTTCCAGGGATGAAGCCACTGGTTGATGCTCTCGTCTCCCTGGGATTAATTTTCCTGGTTGCTGTTATCATCTTGTTCTGCTGTTGGAGTCGAATACAGTGGTGGTGGGAGCGCACAGGGCGACCTTTGTGCCTGCCTTGCTGTGCCTCCTGTATAGACTCCTGCTGCTGCCCGCTCACGACCAAAGCCATCCACTGGATCCTCACCATTCGTTGCTTCAAAACACAAAAGAAAAACGTCCGGAAAGAAGTGTGTCAGGTAAAAGAGAAAGCCAAAATAAATGGTGAAGTGGATTTAGATTTCAAAGACTGTTCACCACGCACTAAAACCTGGGGGAAGGCAGACGAGAAACTAATGACGGAAGTGGTCACACTCACGCCTAAGAAATCTCCAGACATAAGGAAGAATATACAGTTACCTTCTCGCTCCCCTGTGTTCCGCCACAAGTCTGCACAAGAACTCGACCACCCAACATATTTACAATCCGTCTCGGTGGACTCTGGCTGTATTGCTGATATCGAGGATGTTGACACCAATATAACTCCTAATTCTAAGATGTCAATGACTAGTTTGATCTCCGTATTTAGTAAACATTGCTCTCTATCCTCGAAAAAAGCAGGACAGAATGATAATCAACTTCCAAGACATTTTGAAAGGCAGAAATCGATGCCTCTAAGTCGTTTTGTTGTGGATCCTCTTGTGGGGAACCGGAGCTCGAGGCAGGGTTCTCCTCCCCCAGACCATATGAAGACAAACTTTCGCCGATCCATCTCTAGTGACGTTACTAATGGGCGTCCAGGATGGGCCCCGCTAACCCAGCCACCCTCAAACAAGACTTACAGGATTGACGAAAACTTGCAGAAACTACCCAAACTGGCCGATAATGCTTTCGTTCAGTCTGAAAATGGAAACAAGTTAGTGAATTCCAGCCATTACGGTCAAGAATCTGTAACCCAGACACAAAAGAAGCCATTAATGCCTCCAAGAAATTCCAGTTCGCCCCCGAAGAAGGTCTCACCCATTAGAGTAGCGCCTCCGCCCCCTGCACCCACACCAGCGAAAGGAGACCAGACCAAGACGCCCTCGATGTTTCTCTGGAAAGGGAAGACCGGCCCTGATCATTCTAAATTACCTGGAACCGGTAGTGACCCTGACACAAAAACAAAACCTCCAAGACCGATGCACGAGGGAAAGAGTGACGCTGCCTCCCTTGGGCCATCCAAACCAACGAGGGTTCCTCTGATGCCGCCAAAGACAAGTCCTCCTAAGCCGCCAAAGACAGGTCCTCCTAAGCCTCCAAATAAGGGACCTTTAAAGCTGCCAAATACAGGTCCCTCTAAGTCACCAAACACCGCGTTACAGTCTGGAGCCAAGAAGAATGTCCCAGTTCCGTCTGGCAAAGGAGTCAGCGTGAAGGATATAGCACGTCGGCTGGAGCAGTCGTAGCAGACCGTCACTGCCGAGGATGAACCAACTCTCGTGCCTAGTTATGACTTAACGAATCTGTCTTAAGAGTCACCTGTGTCACCAATCTAGGATGATTCTCACATTATATTTTATCAAAACAAAGAATCTCAATCAACAATTCGTTATCTAGCTGAAGACATAAGAAGAAATGGTATATCTTCTTTAACGTAATCATCAAGATGTACAGTTCAGTTGCGGGCAAAATTCCCTGGACACTTGGCCATAATACGTAACGAGAAGCAGCATTATTAGATGCACACCAATCAGATATACGACCACAGAAGTAGACGCCAGATATTGCCAAGTGTCCAGAGAATTTTGGATACAACTGTACTTCTTTAATTAATGTTGTATATTACTGTATGACCTGATATAAAGAGACTTATTGTTGAAGTGTTGTATGATGACGTCAACATCTCAGTGACCGTTATCGACTTGTAGTGTTGTTGTAACGAGAGAATGACACTTAAGAAGCAGCATAACAAGTACCTAGTGTTCTGTATGCTCAAAACATTCATTTAAATCTCGTCTTCGTAAATGATTCATCGCTTAATTTGCAGTTCCCTAGAATACTGTGTGTGTGTGTGTGTGTGTGTGTGTGTGTGTGTGTGTGTGTGTGTGTGTGTGTCAAAGGAGGATAATGGAGACTGACAATCACTGTACGTAAAGATTTATTTATATGTTATAGGACTTCATAATAGCTCTCTCTCTCTCTCTCTCTCTCTCTCTCTCTCTGTCTCTTCATTCTGAAAGGCTTCGATCCTCATGACTCAGTGAATGTGAGGAAACACCTGGTGAAAACTTGTACATGTGTGTGTGTGGGGGGGGCATCTGGCCCCGTGTGTACACTATATCACTTTCCAGATATAATGATGAGTGTGTCTCTGTCAGTCCCTCCTCCCGCTCACAGCCAACGATCTGTCACAGGCTAAAAAAAATAATCTGAAATGTTTTACTGATATTATAAACATACATTATATATATGCATACAGCAGCCACACTATTGTTTCCTGATGAAATTCGAATCATTACCAGTTGTACCACAAACGCCTAAGGTTATCTGTGGTAACTGTGGTGGTCTTGGTTCTGGTCGTGCAAGGAGGCGTTGGTCTGTATCATGCCATGCGTCTGTTGTGTCTATTCTGAGTACAATATAAATAATAAACCCGCTATCTAATTTTTTTTGTCATGGAATATCAGAAACTTGTTTATGTAATTTTGTTATTTATGATTTGGTTTTAAGTGAATACAGAGATCTCTATTTACCAATAAACCTTTGTTTATATTTACATCTCTCCCACACACCTGTCTCCTCAGTGTCCAGTTATAGAGGTGAGGTTAAGTTAGGTTAGGGCCACAGGGTGTCCTCACCGGTCTCCTGGGACCGTATACACAAAACTTTTCTGCTACTGACATAATAGTACTGTTAGCTAGCAGGAAAATTTAAAAGTTATTCACAAAGCTTAACTCACAAACTTTTACCGCACGAATATTTGTTTGTTAAGTAGACCACTAAACAGCGCTAAGGATAACAGGAGTTCATCATATAAAATGGTCTTATGGCTGAATAACTTCAAGAAAATTATGAGGATTAATTTCAATATTTACATTTATATACATTTTGATCATTAAAATAATAAAAAATATAATCTATACAGTTTGAAGGAGGATTTATTAACCAAGGATAGTGACCGGTGGCTTGGCCTTGCCGTGCTGTTTGTAAACAAACTTTATTGAGGAAATGAAAGTCTCAACCCCACGAAAGACAAGGAAGCCCAACTGGACAGCAGACCAGACTTTATTATTGGTGGATGCCATTGAAGAGAAGAGGTTAATATTGAATGGCCGCTTGAAGGCTTTCCTGAATAATAAAGACAAAAAGAGGGGGTTATTTTTTATCAACCCAGCACCTTTTACGATTTTTTTTCTTACCATTTAGTAGATCTCATCGAGCAACGAAAAAATATACTTGAATTAAGCGGCGCATTCCAAAAATAAACGCGATATTCGCAATTTATTAGTTGTAAAAACACGAATTTTTAGAAGTCCCAATTTGATGTTATAGTGAAAAATATGAGTCGCCACACACCCATAACCGCCCATGTTCTCTCAACATCCAGTGACCATGTGTGTGTGTGTGTGTGTGTTTAATAATAGATTCCAGTGTTAAGAGCATTTAGTCTTGGGTGTCACGGCACTAACTCACCCCTCCCCTCCCCCCGTAGTTTAGTCTGGGTGGGTGGTTGGTGAGGAACTTACCTGACGACGGCCTAACCTAACTTAACCTAACCTAACAATGATGACATCGTTAGTCCACTAAGTTACCGATAAAATTACCACTATAGTTACATTGTTGTGGCTCCAGTGTAAACATTGTAGGCAATATGTGAAGCCTACTTTGTTATCAGCAACATTGTGTTCATGAAAATATCCTTTATTATTTTTGGACTATTGTTGGTAACACAAAAATGTTTCTTGTTGATGAGTGTGATGTTGGTAACACTGGTGTGGGCTACAGTTGGCAACAGTGGGCCTGGTTGACGAGGGAGGTGGGCGGCTCGTGTCATAACCCACAGCGAGACAGGGGGAGTGAATGTGTCTCTTACTTATTGAACCATATCACTCTCACCCATTATTGTGGGATCCCAGACACAACAAAAACAAACAGAAGACTAACGTGTGGGGGAGAGCGAGAACTTTTATACAGAGAGGAAGAGCAGAGGTTGAAAAGATGGAATCCTTGATTGGACAATTACGGAGGAAAATAAGGAAAGCAACTGAGAAGAAACCAGGTGAGTTTATGATGACTACACCTCTGTTTAGTGTGGCCGTCACGACACACATATTACAACAATGTTTGATGTGGCCCCGCCTTAACTTAACCTAACCTCACTCACACTCCTCCATCAGCGGCAACCACCACACCCACTATTACTACTTTTTTTTTAATGGCCTCCAGCCTCCCCCAATAGCCACACCTTCGCCACCATTTCATTACCTTAATATTAAATATCCCAATACATAAGTAGCTATCCTAGCTGTGTTGAGTTAGTTGAGCCGCAGATCTATGCGGCATTCAGTGACTGTTGCCTCATAGTCAATATCTGCAACTGTTGTCGGCTTCGGGAGCGATGCTCTCGTTCCCCTGAGGCAAAGCAATGCAGACCTAAGCAGAGAGAAGGACAGTCGACATCTCAACCAGGCTGTAACGTAGCTTATGGGCTGCTGCTTCCGTTCAGATAACACCTCTGCGAGTCTGGCATAGAAATATCTTGCTCTTGGTCCCATCCCATCAGAGGTTGTGAACACCAGAGGAGTGAAGCTGCTTGATAAAAATTCAGAATTCTCTTCCCAGTACAATATGGGTTGTATTAAGGCGGAACAAGAGGACAGAGCTGTCAGGATTATGACTTGTTAGCAAATATAATTATTGCAATGCTAATTTCTATCTATTTACATGACAATTTCTGATAAAAAGGGTTTTGATGGTACAACACAAGCATGTATATATGGTAGGTATTACTAAAAATATTAATACTTAGACAATAAATATCTTTTAAGAGATGATTTAAAGGACGGGAGTGTAGTCTTTGCTCGGGTGGGTGGGGGCAAGTTGTTCCTCACCTTCACACCATGATATTTTATGAGGTCTGGGACTGAGAGGAGCATGGGGGGTGGTCTTAGTATAGCTCTGGGTGCCCTAAGTTGTATCTCTGATTATTTCGGAACTGGAAATAATTGTTGTCAAGCAAGTGATTGACAGATTTATAAACAAATAGGGCACAACAGTAGGTGTTAATATCCTCGAATTTTAAAATTTAAAATTTCGTTAGTTGTTTGTTTGTGTGATGTGGGTTTTTTTTTCAAGTAAGTCATTGTCCGCACAACTCTCTTTTGTGCTTTAACCGGGGATTGTGTTTTTGAAGAGCCAAAGGCCCCCCCCCCATAGTGTGTGACAGTGTATCAAGTGTTGGTAAACAAGATCATAATAAATTTATATCATTGCTATGAGAGTGAGTGACTGTCGAGTGTCATACATGTTTATTGACTTTACTGTGAATGGCTTGTATATTTTTTCTCCAGCTAAGTTTCTCATCAACAATAACCCCCACAAAGAATTCAGTATTTTGTTCGCGTTTGAGGACTGTATTACCAAGGTAAAGGGGGTCCAAATCTGGGGGTAAGTTTTTCCTTCTGTGAAAGATCCTGTAGTGGGTTTTTTCGGGGTTTAAGGTCAGTTTATTACGTATTACCCAGGTCCTGACTTTAGTCAATTCAGTATTCATGGAGGTCTGAGTTGCTGGCATAGAGATTACTATCGTCTGCAAATAAGTTGTATTTTATGAGAGTGCTGGCGTGGACTATGTCGTTTATGTACAACAAAAACAGTACTGGACCGAGAATGGAACCTTGAGGGACGCCATACAAAATTGGTGAGGAGTCAGATTGGTGGTTATTATAGCAGGCATACTGCTTCCTATAGACAGATATGAGGTAAACCAATTGTGGGACAGGCCCCTAACTCCGTAATGTTCAAGCTTTGAAAGGAGGATGGTATGGTCGACAGTATCAAAGGCTTTAGAGAGGTCCAGGAATATACCGACTGTGAACTGACTGTCATCAAATGAGTTTAAGATGTCATTAGTAAAGGATAGCAGAGCACTCTCAGTCGACCTTCTAGCTCTAAATCCAAACTGAGAGTCTGTAAAGATGTTATTGACATTGCAGAAGGAATTTAGTCTACTACATGCTAGCTTCTCCAGTATCTCACTTAAGGTTGGGAGGACTGATATGGGGAGGTAATTCTTGAAAAGACCTTTGTCCCTAGATTTTTGATATGCAATTTTCAGTTTATCCGGAAAGACACCATTAGTGAAGGAGGAGTTACAAATGTGTAGGATAACAGATAGTAATAAGTGGGCTACTTTCTTAATGATGCTCATTAGTATATTGTCTTCGCCTGCTGCTGCATCTTTGGACATTTTTATGATGGTCAATAATTCATCTGCTGTGACAGGGGATAAGAACAGCCCATTTCGCAGTCCGTTTTGCAGGTAGGTTCTAAATTTCTCATGGTGATCAGGGATGTTCTCTGCAAGATTTCTGCCAACATTAATAAAATAATCATTAAAGTGGTTGGTAATGAGGGAAGGCTCCGTTACAACTGAATCATTTATCATAAAAGCTGAGTGGGGGGCCGAAGAGGTGGAGGTGTGGAGAGGAAGGTGAGGGGTAGAGAGGGAAGAAGAAGGAGAGGGAAGAGGTGGGGAGGGGTGGGGAGGGGTTGGCGAAGGGAAGGGTTGGGGAGGAGGGGGGGTGTAACCTGAGCAGTGTTTCCAGGTGAGTAGTAGTAGTAGTAGTAGCGGCCTCAAGATGGCAAGACTGATAGTGAGGTGATTTGTGAGGCGGGCGCCGCTCTCACCGGGGCCCCTCAAGGTGGCCGCTTACCCCCTCCCCCCTCCCCCCCCACACACACACCTCCTCTTATCTTATACCAATGATTAAGACGTTCTGGGCTGCATCTCGTTTTCTGTTGAATCTTTTCGGCTTGTGTCTACTTTTTCTTCACCAGTCCTCTTGTGTTTTTCATTCTTGTTTGTTTTATTTTTTTCGTACATATATTTTCTTGCCATCTTTACTCTATGGCATTTATCAAACTTTTCGTGGGTCTTTTGCAGAATTTATTATATTCAGGTGAAATAAGCTGAGATGGGTTAATCTTCATGTGAAATAAGCTGAGATAGGTTAATATTTAGGTGAAATAAGCTGAGATGGGTTAATCTTCAGGTGAAATAAGCTGAGATAGGTTAATATTTAGGTGAAATAAGCTGAGATAGGTTAATCTTCAGGTGAAATAAGCTGAGATGGGTTAATCTTCAGGTGAAATAAGCTGAGATAGGTTAATATTTAGGTGAAATAAGCTGAGATGGGTTAATCTTCAGGTGAAATAAGCTGAGATAGGTAAATCTTCAGGTGAAATAAGCTGAGATGGGTTAATCTTCAGGTGAAATAAGCTGAGATGGGTTAATCTTCAGGTGAAATAAGCTGGGGTTGGGGGTTAATTTTCATCTTGTCCGATAATTGAAGAGACGTTCAGAAGTACTTCCTCCCTGCATCAGTCACTTCCTCCCTGCGCCAGTCACTTCCTCCCTGCATCAGTCACTTCCTCCCTGATTCAGTCACTTCCTCCCTGAGTCAGTACACTTCTCACCAGCAAGGACAGGTAACATTGCCTGGCATTTTCTCTTATGGAAGCTACGCCCGACGAACCCCTTCGCCCGGCTTCTGCTAGTAATAGTTGTCAGGTTAGAATTTTATGGTGAAAAAGAAATACTCATCAAGTGTAAATTAATAGGAACAATGTAAATGATTATTGACAAGTTCACAGTGTCTTGGTTATTTGCTGTGTGTGTGTGTGTGTGTGTGTGATCTGAACCACTGGATATTAAAAAACATACATACACACACCAACAGATACACACACACACACACACACACACACACACACACACACACACACACACACACACACACACACACACATGCAAACTAGTATAATGACCTGAACTTGTATGGCCAAAATGTGAAAACTGGTGGTATGTTTCTCTGCATTCACTTGCATCGTATGCACACACACACACACACACACACACACAC